TTTTTTTTTTTTTTTTTTTAGGGGATACTGATACTGGAGCAGATGCCAAGCAACCGCCTGTTAAATCCTTCCGGAAATGCATTTTCTCCATGTTATTTTTCTGGCACTTAGTATGGCTGTCAGTGATGCAGCTGCGCCATTACCTCTTCATTGGCACCCTCAATCCCATGCTGAGAAAACTTGCGAATGAGGACAACAGCCTTGGTACTAAGAGAACCCAAAGAATTGTGGGGAAGGAAGGTGGTTTTTGGGGAAGAGAAGGGAATAGGGAAATATAATCATAAATTTAAGGTAAGTGAGAAGCAAGCAATAAGAAAGAAAGCTATGGAAATGAATAGGGAGAGTTGAAAGTATTGATGGGGGCAGCAAAGTGGAAAATATGAGGAGAAAAACTGATAAAAGAAATTGCTTTTCAATGGAAGGATGAGTCAGAGTCCCATCAGCTTGCAGCAATTTTTTTGGTCAAGTTGTGGTTTTGTTTTGTTTTGACTTTTTAAAATAATTTGGGGAGAGGTATTGAAGCATCTCAGTTTTTTCTGGAGTCTGATCCTTAATTTGCCTGCTCAAAGTCTTTGAGCAGATGGAACTTGTATATTCTTGCCTTATAAGAAATATGCAGCTGCTGAGTCCTCATATCTCATTAAACCATGATACTCTTGGTTTTGCCTTAATAAGTTCTGGAATCCAATAATTTTTCCTCCAAAAATGGTGCTTTCATATAATCATGGCTTAGCATAACGTGTGAACCTTTCGGGTCCCAAAAAGAAAGTTTTCTCCTAGAATATATTAGATGTTCCATTGCTCTATTCTATTTATGTTGCCCCCTTTTCTCCCTTCCTGGCACAAAAGGCAGGTGATTTCTCCTCCAAGATGTTCTTCTCTCCTGAGATGATGGGGTCAGGATGTAATCAAACATAGCCTGAGGCCTGCCCTGAAAGCTTTTCCCTTACTTCAGCAGAGATAAGCTGCTGAAGTAAGATTTAAATTGTGTCATTTTAAAACTCAGATATGAATAATGGCAGAACTCAGCTGTTGATTGCCAGTTGACCGGCCAGCAAGCTGAGAGAACTACCAGCCTCCTTTCATATTAGTCTTGTTAGAAGCTTTGTTCCATACCCAAAGGGAGAGTTTTCTCAGTTCTGTGAACTGAATGGCCAAAGAGTCAAAACCTGAACACATTCTAACTTCATCTAAACACAACTACCGTGATTTATAGAAAGGAAAAATCCATTGCATTGGGAAAATTGCCTTTGGAATGACACTGCAGTTATCTTTGGTCTTCCTTTTTTCTATCCACAGTGAGTAGCTACACCAATGCATTTGCCTTCACACAGCTCTGTGGAGTCCTGTGTGCCCCTTGGAATGGGCTTATTCTTGACTGGCACAAACACAGGCAAAAGAAAGGAGAAGGTATGCTCTTTGAATTGTGGGAATTTACCTTCCAGATTAGATTGCCCTGCCAAAAGTGGGATGCTTTGAATTCTCCCTAACTGAATTAACTCTTGTCATTGCAGGGGCACCAGATCCTGTTGCTGACCTCCGTTCTTGTATCCTGTCCCTAACCATTACAGTCCTACAGTGCCTGGCCTTCTCCATCTGTGCTTCCATTCCAGTGCTGCCTGTGCAGTATGCCACTTTTATCCTGCAAGTTCTGAGCCGCTCCTTCCTCTATGGAGGCAATGCTGCCTTCTTGGCTATTGCGTAAGAGAAATTGGGAAAGAAGGCTTGGAAGGAGTGGGGAAAGGAAGGGAAGCCTATGGCTAAGCATGACACAGAATTATCACAGAGGTTTATGATTCTGATGAGTAAAAATGTTGTCAATCAATCCTTTTCTATTGGGAGTGCCATATATGCTTTTCCCAGTTTTGCAGGTTTTCAATTGCAAACATGAACTGCTAAAGGAGGTTAAGATTTCTTCCTATGGGCATTGCAATTGGCATACCCAATTCTCCTCCCCTCTTCCTGCTTTAGAAAACACAACCATAACACCCCCTTTTTTTTTTTAGATTTTCAGAGTTCTGCTAAAATACCCTCCAATCTTTATTGGACACTTTATTGGGCATTCTGTTTTTTCAAATGCCTAATAACATAGACAAACTATGCTAATAATAAGTGGAGACATGATAGCAGTACTTACACTAACTTATGTGAAAACAGGCATGAAGCTAGATTATTTCTTGTTATTTGTATTTTGCAATGAGAGTTGAATCAGAAAAGAAGAAAGTACATTTCTTGATTCAATCATCTCGAAGCCCAAGATGATATTTCCCCAGAGATATCCATTAATTAAATCTGTTGATATATATTTTAATAGTGCATGATGAATACCAAACGTGCTTCCCTTTTAATCATTCTTTTGTGTGAGAGTGCCATGAAACACTGATGTAGGTGCAAACAAGTGCTCCACCCACCTACTTCATCCTACTAGGGATGCAGAAAGATCCAGAAGGAGGACAAAGTGACAAGTTGCTATAAAGACAATAATGAGAAAAAGTCACTTGATAGCAGTGTTCCAATATCTCAGGGGCTGCCACAAAGAAGAGGGAGTCAAGCTATTCTCCAAAGCACCTGAGAACAGGACAAGAAGCAATGGGTGGAAACTACGGTAATCAAAGAGAGAAGCAACTTAGAACTAAGGAGAAATTTCCTGACAGTTAGAACAATTAATCAGTGGAGAAACTTGCCTCCAGAAGTTGTGAATGCGCCAACACTGGACATTTTAAAGAAGATGTTAGATAGTCATTTGTCTGAAGTGNTATGCCCCCAGTCCCCTAATCATCTTTGTTGCTCTTCTCTGAACTCTTTGTAGAGTCTCAACATGTTTTTTACATCATGGTGACCAAAACTGGATTCAGTATTCCAAGTGTGGCCTTACCAAGGCCTTGTAAATCGGTGCTAACACTTCATGTGATCTTGATTCTATGTTAATGCAGCCTTGAGGTGTGTTGGCTTTTTTGGCAACTGCTGCACTTTAAGTGATGTCCACTAGGACTGCAAGTTCCCTCTCACAATTACTACAATTACCTTGGGCCTCAACTCTCCTCCTCCTAAGATTCAGAAGACTGAGCAGGATGAAGACTTTGGAGGGCTCCCTCCTTTGAAACCCTTTGCTTCCCTTCGCCTCGGAGTCTTACCCACCCTTGCAACATGTGTTGAAATTGCGCACAGAATCCTCCAGGGGACACCAAGCTAAGAGAAAGTAATGTCAGGTGCTTCCCCATTGGGCCACTGGAGGGCAAAGGTCAGAATTGGCTTTTCAGAGGAAGCCTGACATCACAAACAACTTTCTTACAAATGCTTGCATTTGCTCTCCTAACCCTATTGGCTCAGCAGAAGACAGAGAGGCTGTGGGAGAGTGGGGTGGGGGGGAACCATACATGCCCCGGGTAAGGGGGGAGGCTCTTCCAGTGCAAAGGGAGGCGGAGGAGGGAGAGACCCATGCCCAGCCCTCCTCTGGGATCAATACGGGCAGAATAACCTGTGGTGCTCAGTTCTGCAACAACAGAAAGCATCCTATGCATGAAAAGTGGTTGGAGATCCACAAGATTCCTGGGGCCCATTTAGAGTTGACTTGCAGGACAGAGAAAGAATGGAGACACAAATTTCAAAGATTTGTAAGATGTGGATCTTGTTATAAGAGTTAAAATGTTTGGTCCAGGAAAAGATCTTTCCACATTCCATGCTTTTATATGGCTTCTCACATATGAACAATGACTGGATTTTCTATATACGCAT